CAGCAGCAATCAACGTGCTGACCATTAGGGGGTGTCCAATGGGCAGGGCAGCGATTGGATCTGTTGGTGTCTCCAGCCCCGGGTAGGGTCCCAGGCAGAGAGTTGCTCTCCGTCCAGATCTGCTCCAATGAATGGGTGAACGAGCACCCGACACCCCAGGCCCGGCATGGACGCTGGGTGGGGGCTGTTTTCCAGCCATCCAGGTGGACTAGGAGGCAGGGGAGCTGCCGTCAGCGGCTGGTTCTCGCACCGCCTGGCTTTGGTGAGTGTGAGCTGGGGCAGCCCCGTCATCTCTCCCACTCTGTCCATCTCCCAGTGTTGCTAGGGGGATGCTCCAGGCCTGCCCGGGAAATTTCTTTGCAACCTGATGATCGTTACTGCCCTCTTACCTGGCCCCCTGGTACCCAGAGGTGCCCTGATAAAGGTGGCCGGGCAGCTGGGCTGGCATGGGATTTTAGCAGAGGTGACCAGCTGAGTTCAGGAACCAGGGGACAAGGGGTGAAGGGACAAGTTCGTAGCTTCTGGGTGCCGGTGCTCTCCTCACCCGCCCCCCGCGCCCCCGCTGGTTCTACCTGCCCATCTCTCCATCGCCTTTGAGAACCTCAGCTGTCCCCTGAGTACTCCATCCAGGTCTGCTAGGTGGGGGAGTAGCATCTCTACTGCTTTCCCAGGCGCATTAGCAGGGAGCTGGATCAGAAAGGGAGCAGCTGGGACTCGAACCGGCAATCGCAGGCCACTGACTGACACAGGCCCAAACCCTCAGAAAGCTTGCCCCTTCTCCCCACCCTTCTCACCGTCCCAGTCTCGTCATCACGACGGCATCTGCCACTTACTAAGCTCTGACTGGGCACTAGGCACTGGGTTACAGTCACATCTCAGTGATTCCACTCCAAACCATCACTCCCTGCATTGGTGGACCCCTCACCCCATCCCAGCCTGACTTTCTGCTCCCAGCCCACGGTCCTGGGATAACAGAAGTCTTCAACTTGCCCAGGTTGAATTTATAATTAAAAACAACACACACACACACACTTCTACGAGTGCCAACGCAACAAAGTGACTCCCATGCAGTGAAGCTGTGATTTGCATTTTGAACTTGGACCTTTGCCCTGGTGAGTCAATGCAGTCCTACCCACTCGCAGTCAGCCCCACGGTCACGGTCAAGGTCTCGAGGGGACACGGCCGGGCGCCCTGCCGTGCCCTGAGCTTCCGAGCTGGGATGTGCTCAGGAGGCCAGGGGCACCCGGTGCACTTTGAACTTGACGACATTTCCGCCTTCGGGCCAGCAGGACGCCAAGGTGCACCTGTCCGCAGCCATCTCTCGAGAGCAGTACCCAGGCAGGTGAGAATTTGCTAAGTCCCACAGCTTGCCCCAGGGGGCCTCTCCCAGCTCTGAGCCTGGAGGCCTCCCCATTCCTGCCCCTTCTTGCCTGCACCCCTCTTTGTGTCTTCTGCCACGCCCACGCCCTGAGCCTTCCCAGAGGGCTCCAGCTCTCAGGGCTGCCACCCCCAGGGCTGCCACCCCATGGCACTCGCCCGTGGCCCCTTCCTCCCACCTCCCAGCCGTGGGGCCTGGCAGTGGGGCATCTTCTGTGCTCCACAATCCATGGCCTGCTCCTGTCAGATCCGGGATGCCCCTGGGGGGGGGCTGCTCCTCCTGCAACAGCTCCCCTGGGAGCACTGCATGGCTTCCCTTCCTGCCCCCAACTCACACCCAGGCCCAGGGGTCCACTAGGCTCAGTGGTTTCTTCCAGTGCCCCAGTATCCCATCCCCCCACCCCCCACCATAGGGCTTAGGCAGCTTACACTCCCTCCACCTGCCCTCCGTGCACTCCCCCGGCCACTGTGGGGTCTGCAAGGCCGGTAGGGCTGGGGGTGACTCGGGCACTGAGAACGCAGGGTCTTGCTCTCCTAGGGTTTATGGAACGGTTGCAGCCGTGAGGGAGGAAGGAGCGGCTGCTGTCCACAGCAGAAGCAAGCAGACTCGCTTAGAGGCTCGGGACATTTGAAATGCTCAGAGAAAGAATGAAAAGATCAACCAGGGGCGGGGCTGTAGCCCAGACGAAGGCAGGCAGGGAAGGCTTCCTGCAGGAGGTGGCACGTTGGTTGGGGCAGGACGCGGCACGTTGGTTGGGGCAGGACGCAAACATGAGGAAGTAGCAGGCACAAAGGGGTGCAGGAGGGAATACCCCTGGCAGGCGCCCACTGCACCCCCACCCCCGGCCAGGGCCCCGGGGCTGCCTGGGGAGCAGGGGTCCCTCTCTGGGCACGAGTGGCAGCTGTGGCTGCTTTGGTGGCCCTGCTTCCATTGCCCCAGCAGCAAGGCGCCGTCCCCACCGAGCCAGGCACCACCTCAAGCCTGTCCCCGTCAGACCCCACGACCCCCTCCTCTTCTCTCGCTAAGCACCCAGGCTTGTGGCCCCCTATTCTCAAGGGATCCTGTCCCCGGCTTGCACCTGCTTCCTCCCTGCCTCTGCCCCCGCCCGCGCCTCTTCAGGGAGGCCGCAGCCAGCCCCTCCTCGGCAATGCCTGTGCTGCCTCCCCTTGCCATTCCAAGTGCCCTCGGACTGCGCCTGCGCTCCCCGAGGTCTCCCTCAGAGCCCCGGCCAGGAGTGCGCCGGTCAAGGCCCAGGACACTGGATTTAGGCAGACCTGGTGCAGCTGCTCTCCTGCTCAGGGTCTGGCCCCAGAGGCTCTCTTCCCCTTCTCCTGATAACCAGCACCCCTATTCTCCCCCTGGGGGCCCATCCTCTTCTGCTTGTGGTCCTTGTACCTGAAGGGGGGCTGCCCAGGGCCACTGTTAGTGACCACGCGAGACAATGCCTGTGACTTTTGCATGGTTGGAAAAGGTCACTCTATTTGCACCAGGACGGATAACCTGGTCAAATGCAAACCTGAGACTGTTGGGGCCATTTGTGTCGCCACAAGGGAGGAGTCTATTTACAAATAAAACAGCACAGGAAAAGAAAACACACACACACACACACACACACACACACATACAGAGATAAATTTCTGGGAAAAGTTGTGCGAGGGCCTGGATCCAGCCATGCCTGATGTTGTTAGCCCTGTGGTTTTCGGTTTTGTGAACCAGCAAGTTCTCCTCTTTCTCTTTTGGCCTAAGCAGGTTTGAGTTGGCTTTGGTGCTGGCCACTGGCAGTCTCGACTACAGAAATCCTCCACTTGTAGCCTTGACCGGGGGTTGAAGGAATTGACACATGCGTGGAGCCCGGCACACCGCAGCGCTCTGTGAACGGCAACTTTTGATGACTTTGACTCTGTTTTCTCATAGATCTATTAAATTTCCATAAACGGGAGCTCCATAGCGGTGGAGCACTGTTTTTTTCCCTTTCTTTCCACGACTTCAGACAAACCTTACTTTGTGAAACCCATACCCTCCCCAGCATCATGGGTCTTTAAGCGATCTCTGTGTTCCAGTCCAGCTCTCTTTCCCACCGTCCCCTGGGCTGAGACAGCTGGGCTTCCCAGCAGAGGGCGGGTTCAAGCCCTGGTGGGCGCGCTGTCCCGTGTTATGTGTATCGACCCAGCTTTCAAGCCGGCGTCAAATCTGCTCTGCTGAAAAGTCTCCACTGCCATCTAGTGGATGCCTGCAGTACTACAGCTCGCAAAAGGGAGCGGGCAGCCGACTGTCCCTTGGGAGTCATCCCTGGCCTGTGAAATTCTCCGGCCCCACTTGCTCACTCTTTCAGTGGGAAAGCAGAAGACAAGTGAAACCCTGGTAAAGCCAAGAGTTTTGTTCCGGAAGTAGCACGGCCTTGTCCCTAAGTGTCAGGGCTCCTTGTCCTGCTCCTGTGGCCTCCTGCCTCCCGCCCCAAGAGTCAGATCACATCCTTCTTTCTCTGCTCCTCTTGCTGTCCTCAGGGGTGACCCAGGCCAGAGGCCCCCAGGGAAGAGGGCTGCTGTGTGCGTGTACATGGGAGCACCTATGTGTGCATGTGCACAGTGCGTGTGTGTGCAGTGTGTCATAGGCACATATATGCATGCACGTGTGTTAGACTCACAAAGGGCAAGACCTGTCACCAGTTATCTGTTCTCTAGAAGCAAAAAGCATTTCAAGAAAGGAGGCCGACTCGGGCCCTCCACACCTGTGCTCGCCTCCTCCAGCGCCTCTGCCGGGCCACAGCTCCGCTGATGGTGGCCAGGCCCTGGCGTGGGCAGCATGGAGCCCCCAGGCTGTGCCCAGAGACAGGAAGGGCCCTCTCCTCACCACGCCGCACAGAAGGGACCGGAAGGTCAGCCTCTCCCTGACCTAAGTCCTTCTGTCCCCACGCATTGGTGACCCGAGCCCCCGTAACATCACAGTCCTCGCACCCACGTTGAACCCTGTGCCCAAACCCAGCAGACAGCAAGAACTCGGCCTCCGCCCGACACCTGGGGCCGCAGCCCCACCCCCACACCTCCACGCATTTCCCCAGGCTGCCAGACCCCTGGGGCCAAAGGAAGCTTCCGGAACAGCTCGGCGCTAAGTCCCTTTCCTTAGAGGAGTGCTTATTTGCACTTCTTATGATTTGAGATGACTGGGGGCAGAGGAGGCGCGTGGGCCCTGTCGCAGCTGTGGGCTGATGGCCTCTGCTCGCGTCGCCACCCTGGAAGCCCTGTCCGTCACAGACCGCTCCACGGGGGCAGCCACCCTGCCCCTTGACAGGAAGCTCCCCCTGCACCCCTTTCCTGGGCTCTGCTGACCCCAAAGCACACACTCCCGACTGCTTTTCATCTTGACCCTGCAGAGCCAGGCTCAGGAACCCCCAGAGTAGGGGGTCCCAGAAGAGCACGGGCCCCCAGGACACCCCAGCTACAACCCTCCACCTCCCCAGCCCCTCCTGGAGGCCACGGGCCCGGCCCGGGAAAGCACATCCTGATGGCCACGGCCAGCACTGCCCCCCATCCCCTTGAAGCACGGGGCTTCAAGTCACCCAGATCTGCAGGCTCAGAGGCGACACACTCCCTCCCCCAGCCCCAGCCCCGCCCTGCGCACTCACGTCCAAGGCCCCGGGGAACTTGACTATGGGCTCCGACCAGGAGGTGATCTTCTGTCTGAAGTTGTCGCAGTCGGGAATGAACATGCAGCCGATGTTCCCCAGCTCGGGGTAGAAGACGCCGAGGCCCCTAGGGAGAGAGGGAGGGGCAGGCAGCCCCGTCAGGCTTCAGGGGCTGGCCTCGGCCTCCTCACCTGGAGAGGGGGGCAGCAATCCTGGCCGCCTCCGAGGATCAGCCTGGGTGGGGGGTAACGTGGGGAGCGGCACTTCCGGCGCATTCTAGGTGGCCAGGAAGTGTCAGCTCTCGCCAGCGCTAACCTCCCAGGAAGGCACTGGGTGCTTGCAAGGGTTCGTGGAACAAACAACAGCGCACACCTGACAGCCATACCCACGCGGGATCTTCAAAAAGTTCATGAAAAGGCGTATTACGAAAAAACCACACATGCGTTACGAAAGTGCACCTAAATTTTGCACCTAAATATTTGCACCTAAATAAACTTATCTTTCAACTCCACCATTCTACAAGCTTTCCTTTAAAGTTTTTTTTTTTTTTTTTTGAAAGACTGTGTTCCAGAGAGAGAGATCGATTGATCTTCCATCTGCTGGCTCACTCCCCAAACGGCTACATCGGTCAGGACTGGTCCAAGCCGAAGCCAGGGGCCTGGGACTCCGTCTGGGTCTCTCCCATGGGTGCAGGGGCCCAGGTACTTGGGCCATCTTCCACTGCTTTCCCAGGCGCTTGAGTAGGGAGCTGGCTGGGAAGCAGAGCAGCCGGGACTCGAACCAGCACTTCGTTATGGCACACAGGCATCGCAAACAGCTGCTTAACTACTGCACCACGACGCCAGCCCCCCTTCGAGAGCCATTGTGTACACCTTAGGGAACTAAGTCTGTGTCTTGGGGTTTATAAAACATGTACCTGTCGTGTTTTAGGGATGTTCTTACTATAGAAGGAGAGGGTTGGCAGTCATGGGGGAGACCTCTGCCCACTAAGCAGTCCAGAGCTCCCCACGCCTCAAACCTGAGGAGTCTGTTTCTCAGGGCTGAGTACCACCTACCCCAAATGCAAACGCCCTCACCACACCTGGCGTGCCGGGGCAGCAGGGCGCTGCGAGGCTCTGGCTTGCTGGAGCAAGGCTGCAGACCCCGGCACCGGCTGTGGCCTCGGGCGGACCCGGCTCGTCCACGACCTCGCCGGTGCTGCCCTTAAGAGCTCACCTTCTTGTATATCTGAAGCTCAGAAGGCTCAGCCAGACTTTCAGACCGATGTGGAAACGGAAAATCTTTGTGCAGCCTTGCTGTCATTTTACAGGCAGAGAGAGGGGGAATCTTCCATTCACTGGCTCGCTCTCCCAATGGCTACAGTGGGCAGGGCTGGGCCAGGCCCGAAGCCAAGAGCCTGGAATTCTACCCAGACCTCCCACATGTGCAGCAGGGGCCCAGGTACTTGGGCTGGTGTCACAGGGGGCGGCTTAACCCACGGTGCCACAACACCAGTGCCTCTTTTGTCAATTTATCACCAAGGGCCGGGTCTCTGTAGGGTTAGGTGGAGCTGCAGAGAAGGCTATGGGGCAGTGAGGATCCGGAGGGGGGGCCCCTGTGGTTGGGGTCTGGGCGTAGCGCAGGGACAGCTTCCTGGTGGGGAGTCCCACGTTCCCTCCCCCGGGTCCAGTGGCAGCAGAGCCCATGGTGCTCCAATCCCCCGGGGGTGGGGGGAGGCGCAGCCACAGGAGCCAGCGCCCACTTGCTGGGCCCCTCGGCTTCTCTGTAGCTCTTTGTCCACTTACAGCAGTTCCCTTAGGTTGGCATGGTTGGGGCAGCTTTTGAAGGCGTGTTAGGGACAGGTTTTCCTTGGCCTGCACGGCTGCCTGTGGAAGGGCCGATTGATTATTTCTGCCACAGCTCCTGCCCCCTGCAGCCAGAGTGACGCGAGGTAGAGGAGACCCTCCACGGGCAGAGATGGGCGGCTCAGCACACAGCAACCCGAAGGGTAAAATCGGGCAATGGGAGGAGGCAACCCAAGGGCAGAGGGTTCTCCGCCCCCCCTCCCCTGGTAAGGGACCTCAGCTTTTTACCCTGGTGAAATTGCCACAGATGTTCAAGAATGAAACGAGAGATCAGCCCACTGCTTCCTGGCGAGTGGGCTGTCCCGGAGGGCTTCCATGTGCCCGCTGCCCCATCCACACGGGAGCGTGACCGAGTGGCGGGCACAGCCCTCTGTTGCATGTAGCAGTGTATCAGAGGCAGGTCGCCGATGGCCCGGAGCTTGGACACACCTCTGGGCAAGCTTGAGAGGAGCTGAATCAGACAACGGATCGAGCGAGAGTTTGCGCTAAAACACACTCAGGTCCCCAAAGCCGCAAAGGCGCCGTCTTCTGCAGTGCCCTCGCTGTACGTGTACCCAGAGAACCCCCTTGACAAGTGGAGTCAAATGAGCCCTTGGCCCTTGGCTGCACGAGGGACCACAGCCGAGGAGGCGGCACCGGCTGGGCTGCCCCGCGAGACCAGACGCCGCCCGTCTGTGCTATTTCGTTTAATTCAGTGTGACCTCAGAGTGGCCCTGCCCCTCTCCTCTCCCAGACGAGCAAAGTTAATTAACTAGCGCAACGCATCCAAGCCGTGAGCTGAGAAGGCGGAGGAGGTAGGTGGCCCCGTCGCCTGGGAGCCGTGCCCCCGGATCACCCCCTCCCCTGAAATAAGTGGCTTGGATCCAGTGACACGATCCTGATGCAGCAAATACCGCAGAAGCCGCCGGCAGCCTCTTCCAAGATTTTCTGCGAGTCAGCTTTTTGTGACCTTAGCCAAAATACCTGAGGGGAGCGACTTAGAAGGGGAGAATGTTTACTTTGGCTTGCAGGTTTGTAGGTTCTCAGTCCAAGATCAGGTGGCCCCTTAGTCTGCTGGAGCCAGAGGATGGTGGAGGGACAGGTGCTCATAGGGCGAGCCAGGAAGCAGAGACACAGGGAGCCGTCTCGTCCTGGTGTGCTCTCTGCTTCTATCATGACTGCCCCGGCCACCTCCTCCAGCCCAACCACACCCCAAAGGCCCCCCTACAGACACCATGACTGGAGCCAAGTCTACCCGACTCTATCCACCATTTATCCATGGACCAGTGCCATTAAGACTTCGGGGTTTAAACCTCTGCCTTGGGGACTGGTGTTGGGGTACAGGGTGTTAAGCCGTTGCATGGGATGCTGGCATCCCATATGGGCGCTGGTTCAAGTCCCGGCTGCTCCACTTCCGATCCAGCTCCCTGCTAATGCTCCTGGGAAAGCAGCAGAAGAGGCCCAAGTGCTTGGGCCCCTGCCACCCACGTGGGAGACCAGGATGGAGTTCCAGGCCCAGCCAGGCTGTTGAGCCTATTTGGGAAGTGAACTGGGGATGGAAGATCTCTCTTTCTCTCCCCCTTTCTCTGTTGTTCTACTTGTCTTTATATATATATATATATATATATATATATATATATATATTTCTGCAAGAGTTTGGGGAGCTGAATCCTGTTCAAATCATATTAGGGTTGTGAGACTGTAGCTTCTGCATGGAGGCCCTTTCTCAGAAGGTCTCCCTCCACCACCCCCACCTGTCCTCTGGGAGAAGTCAGCTGGCATGCTGTGAAGGGTTGTGTGGGGAGGCCACCTGCAGGGGTCCAGAGCCTGTGCATACCCCCACAAGCGAGCTGGGAGCAGAGCCCTGGCTCCGGACCACCCCGGCCTGTGAGACTTTGAGCCACGCCCAAATAACCTGCAAGCAGTCAGAGTTTGCAGCTGCTAGGTTGTGGGGGCATCTGTGGGTACAGCGACAGGGAACTAACCCGGTGTGGTTCTCCCCACTCTCCCCACACTACACAGGTTCCCTAGCGAGGCCTCAGCCTGAGCTGGATGGTCCCCCAGGTCTCTCCGTCATTGTAAGAACTGGATCAGAAGGGCTGGCTTTGTGGTACAGCACATTTATCATCCCAAGGTGAGCGCCAGGCTCCAGTCCCGGCTGCTCCACTTCTGCCCCAGCTCCCTGCTAATGCACCTGGGAAAGCAGCGGAAGATGGCCCAAGGGCTTGGGCTCCTGCCACCCACATGGGTGGGGTTGCTGGCTCCTGGCTTCAGTCTGGCCCAGTCCCAGCCATTGCGGCCTTTTGGGGAGTGAAAGTTGGTGTCCCCCTAGATTCCTTTGTGAGAGCTTAGTTGGCAGTGTGTGTGGTATTAGTATTAAGAGGTGGGGATTTTAGGCCCCAAGTACATTACCCTTATTAAAATCACCCTCTGAAAAGAGAGATTACAGACAGGCCTTCAGCCTAGTAGTTCAGACACCCGCAACCCATTTCAAAGTGCCTGGGTTTGAGTGCTGGCTCCGCTCCTAATTCCAGCTTCCTGCTAGTGTAGACCCTGGGAAGCAGTGGTGATGGTAAAGTCGTTGGGTCCCTGTCACCCTCGTGGGAGACTTGAATCGAGTTCCTGGCTCCCGGTTTCAGCTTGGCCTAGCTCTGGCAGGTGTAGGTATTTGTGAGGGGAACCAGAGGATGCGAGATCTCGCTCACTCTCTGTGTCTCTCCCACCACCACCGAGAGATTAGCGTCCTTAGAAGGCAGGTTGGAAGGGGTATTCCTTCCCTTCTACGGTAGAAGCAGAGAGCAGGGCTCAGCGGACACTGAATCCGCTGGCACCTTGACCCTGGCCTTGCCAGCCTGCAGAACGACAAGCTGTTTCCGTTGTTCAGCAACGACCCCGTCTAAGGCACTTTCGTCACAGAAACTGAACGGGCCATGAGAGAGAGGCTGACACCGAGGCCCCTGGACACGAGGCTGCCGACTCAGAGGCGCCCCTCTCTCTTGGACGGTGGTCCACGTGAAAGCACAGGCCCCACCCTCCACAGTGGCACTGCTACATCTCCAGCTGTGCCTTCTGCAGGGCCCCGAGGAGGGACCGAAGGACTGCAGGTGCGTGCCACGGTGCGGGGGGCAGGCATGGCGCTGGCGGCGTGACGTCTGTCTCCGAACACGTGGGAGACCACCAGGAAGAGGAGAGGCTGGGCTTGCTCTATGCAATCCTGGGCAGAACAGGAAGGGTGGACTGACGTTCAAGAAGAGCAGCCGACGCCTGGATAGGAGGAGGCGCTGTGAGACAGCCGCAGGGAGAG